CATGCAAAGCAAGGCTAACTTTGAAACTAGGACAACCAAGATAACAAAATTTCCAAATTCATATATACATTCATCTTGTTTAATAAAAAAAAAAAAAAAAAGTGCTTATCTCTATAAAGCAACATACAGCAACATAGCAAGTTTGCAAGAAAGAATGATTTCACTGCTGACAGATGGTTACGGTTTTTCATAATCAATCTTATATCACAGACATTTAAAACCAGACTCTAGAGAATGCCCGGAACAGCTACAACTAAGACTCGCTCCTCATGCAGCTAATGGTTTTGTACTGTGAGATAAAGGGAGAGGATTCATTTTTTGGTTGCAAATAAGTAATTCTAAAAATAAAAGCCTGACTTTGCTAAATACGAAGACATAAAACTGGTGCAACCTTGCCTTAGGAAAGCTAAGCATGCTGAAGCACAGTGTAAAGAGCTATTACATACACAGTATATAGAAATAGACTTTTTTTCTTTTCCTTTTTTTGACACAGATCTAACACTTCATGATCAAAGCAGGCTACTTTGTTGCAACGTAATTACAGTCTTCTGCATTTATTATGCTCCATTACACCTATTGTATCAAACTTAGTGCAGTAAGGATGACAGAAGAAAATGAGACTTCTAGTGGTTTCATCTTCAATGCCCAATAGCTGACAAAACTTTAAATAGGGCCTGAGAACACCCAAAGAATTCAGTGATAAAGTAGTTCATACTGTAGATAATGTCATTATTAAGGAAACAGTCAAGGGTTCAAACTGTAGAGCAAATGAACGCACAGAATGCTTTTGTGAACTGGTCCTAAATACTTACCTACGCTGAGAAGTGCCTCAATAAATTCCTCAGCGACAATTGGCAGAGGAAGGCGAAATATATCATAAAGAACTTCCAGTAGGCCTCGCTAGAAAATCAGAAGAAAGTAGCAGCTATTTTATTGATTTATAAAAATGGTCTTTTTTCCATTAAACTACTAAGAAATTGAATATTGAAGTTCACTTTTCCTTAAATTGTTAAGATCAGTGCATTTGTTTTGCAGTTTTTCTTTTGGGAGGAGGGCAGGTTAGAATATACTTATTTTCATAATCTAACTGAGTTTAGAGAAAAAAAGGAGAAGGCAAGAGCTTGCTTACTCCAAAGGTGTGCTTTATTATCACCATTTATCACTATTCATCATTATTTATCCATCATTATTATAAATGCTGAATAAATTTGGGGTACTTGAAATACATCAGTTGAAAAAGTTACTAAGTTAAAAGCATAATTTCTACTTACTTGCTATTTTTCAACACTGCTCAAAACAAAACTCTCAAGTCTTCCTATATTCAGTAGATGCTTTCTATAGGCTTTCTATAGGCTTTATATAGGCTTTCTACTTAAAATAGTACAGAAGAAATTCCAAAAATAGCATCTTGGATGTTACTGCCATATACATTACTATCACCACCAAACAGTGCACTAACAAAGACTGTACAATTTCTACCATGAAAGTGCAGATTGCTCTTCTACACTTAATTAAGAAACCCTGAGAGATGTTAATGATTATTCAATTATCCACTCAGCATTTCCCAATATGCAAATAAAAATCAAACTAATGCACAGTTGTGTACTAGAAATACAAACAGTTTCATTATCTTGTCTATCAAAGGTTATAAAGCAAGATACTGGCATATTTCCTGAGTAGGTAGGTTGGGTTTTTTTGGTTTTGTTTTTGTTCTGCCAACAACAACTTTTTTTTTTTTTTTTAGTTTAGCCAGTTACTTGAAAGAAGCAATTTTTTTCACATTGCAGATTTAAGCTCATCATACCTACAGCTCCTTTGTGCTTGTTTTGACTTGTGGCCAAAACAGAAATTCATTTATGTACCTCTGGTCTGGTCTGTCTCCATGTTGACTTTCCCTTATGTCTTCTAGGCATTTAGTCACTAAATATTAGCAGACTGAACTCGGTCCTGTGCCACGTGCTCTAGGTGACCCTGCGTGTGCAGGGGGGTTGGACTAGATGATCTCTAGAGGTCCCTTCCAACCTTAATGATTCTGTGATTCCATGATAGGAGACATTCAAGACTCCCACCATATGAAGTATGAATGAGAAACTAAACTTAAAACAAAGAACAACTGCTGGACGCTATTAAACTTTTTTCCTGGCAGTATCAACTTCACAGTGCATTAATTATTTTTTTAAATTGCTTTTAAATCATAATGGAAATTCTACAGAATGAGCTCAAGATCTACATAAGATAATAAGAAACAGACTAAACATAAACAAAACAAAAACTTAACCCTCCTTCCTGACAGCTTATAAGCTATTTTAGTGTCATAACATCTGAGTATATATTGATTTTTTGATATGTTTATCCCCTCTTCTCTTCTCCTTCCTGTCAGATACAGAAGGTGTGCTTTTATTCTTATTTTACAGATAAGGAGTTAGATATAGAAAAAGCAAACAAATTGATTAAGCTTGCAGACTATAGTGTAAACTTCAACATAGGGGCCTTAAAAATAGAATTAGTATGTAAACCACTAGATTGTTGAATTTTAAGAATGTGTAATTAAAACATCCAATATTATCCATATTCTAGTATTAAATATTTACCACTTACCCGTATTTCCATATTTGGTATGCAAAGTACCCCAATCAGAGACTGAATCCCAGAATTCCCAGGCTTGCACAAGCTGATAATACCTAGAAAATATTAAATATATAATACTCCTTCACAAAAAAAAAAAAAAAAAAGCTTGAAATATAGTATTAACTTTGATTTTCACAGAATGAGTGCAAGCACAGATGACAGAATGACTTAATTATAAACATTTTTCACCTTTCTAACGTCATCTTCTTTCTCATCAGTACTATATGCTTAACACAAAACATTCTAATTATAAAACACTGTTCCTTCAGTAACAGTTACAACTTTTGCTGTTTCTACTGTGAACAGTACGTTCCAGTTACCTGTGATAACAAAGTTTACATGGAGGAAATGGCGGGGGGGACTGTGAAAAAACTTGAAAATAAAAATCTGCGTAACCTTAACAAAACTGTGAGCAGCTTCTACACTGAAAGCTCTATTTTAACATAATAAACTAAATTGCTTGATTTAATCTAGAAAAATTCTAAACAATAAATGTGAATATCCCTTCGAATAACATTCCTGTGTGTGTGTTTTTTCTTTTCTTTTTTTTTTTTTTTAAATCATATTTGCCAAGATGATCTTATCTCTCGATTAATCAACACAGTTGATTCTGCTTTGCCTAAAATTTCAGGGATTCTCTTACAATTTGTTCCTTTCAAATTATGCTCTACTCAATAAAATATTTCTAGATTTAAAGGACAAAACCTTGATTTTTCTTAGATGATGCAAAATTCTGCCTGAAGCTAGTGATTACACTGAGTTACAGTCACAGTCTATATGATTCTAGAGACAGTATTTTAGCTCTATTTCCTAAATCGTTTCCCCCCCCATATCACAGTAGTTAAAGCTTACAGTAACACTATTCAGGAAACAAATTAATCAAAAAATGTAAACTTAAGTTAACAAAAAGAAAAGACGCCAGGCTTGAACCCATCTTTGTCTTACACGTTTTATATAAGCCCAAATCTCCATTCATTAATTACCAGAAGATGGTAATTATTGACTACTCATCCATTTATTTTCATTAATACTAAACTAAATAGCATATGTCTTATGTGGAAGATTCCTCAAGCTCAGAACTCTCTTGTCAAAAAAGCTTATGATTAACACATGTGAGCCCATACACATGAAGTGTGCATGTTCCAAGTATGTTCCACATTCACCTCACAGGCCTCCTTTCCAGGGGCCTTTCCATATAATGACCACATCCCAATTGCAAGGGAGGAATAGATCTAGGTTAATGCAATTATTGCTGCGTGGTCCAAATTCATTTGTAAGGATGTGGCAGAACATGAGAATAAAGGACAGAGGAATCAGCTGTGATGAGTAAGTGTAGACAGGCAAAAACAAATCACTCATCCTTGATTTTACTAGGCGTCCTATATTATTAAGTATAACAAGTAATAATAAAAAAAGAGCGAAGAAAGCACAACAATATAAGTACCAAGATAAGTAGCATGTTCCAAGAAAATGTTTCTGGAATCACTTAAAACTTTTTAGGCTTATGCCATCAGTTTCAAAGGCCTGAACTAGGGAAGATGCACCAACACTCCAAACGGAAATTGCTAATTTAAAGTTTCAAAGTTTAAAGTTCAAACTTGTGACAAATTTTCCAAGTTTCTGTACCAGTGCAATGGGACTGTATGTGAGGAAATTATTGAAGGACATGTGGGCACCAAATTAAGCTTACGGATCATTTTCAGAAGATTAAAAGATAAAGCAAAGAGTCTTAAAAAGCAAAAAGGCTTTCTATACATATGTATCTGTTGCAAGGACAAATTGCAAGATTTTGCCCCAAATTTTGGTAAAACTTCCTAGCAAGTGATTTAGTTTATTTTAGAGACATTGACTCTCCTGAGAGAGAATGAGCAGTCCCTATGGTAACAGCTCCATGTCAGATACTGCACTATTGCAAAGAAAGGACTTAGAAAAATGCAAAACAGCAGTTAAAAAAAAATCTCAAACTATGTTCATAATGGGATTTATCTTCAAGCAGAAGGAAGGAACCATCAAGGAACAACAGATGCAATATTCCACATTGACAAAGTCATATCTTGTCAGCAGAATCAGTTAAAGCAAACTATGTACGTATCCTATCAAAAAATGCCTTAGCCTCAACTGTAGGAAGGTACTGACAGAAGACAGATCGAGAGAGACAAATTATGTGTGTAAATAAACCATTCTTTTACTGCAAAAGGTGGAAGTGCCCTCCAATCATGCAACTTGGAAAAAACAAACCAAACCTTACCTGCCCATGATCGGAATGCTGCCACTATTCCCATCTTACTGGCTAGGAACCGGGCTTCTCTGTCCTCCCTGTTATTAAAAACACAAATGCCACAATACATAGTTACATTACCATAAGACAAACAGCGTTACTAACATAGCAATAGTTAACTGAGATTTTAAGGTGGGGAATGAAACCCAAACCAAGAAAAATTTTTAATGTGTCTGTATTGCATATAACACTGCTGAGGTGCCTGTACATATATCCAATATGTATGCACACATCCAAAGATTAGAACTGAGTATTGCTACTTGTTCTTTTTTCAGAAGAGTTTCTATTTTAAGAGGATCACAAAGTAAATACCCTGAGCTGGTGAGATGAATCACTCAAGCTTCCCTGGACAGTGTGACTAGAGTGAGGGCCAAAAGACTTGGACCTCGTTTCAGTTACCTAAACCTAAGCACTGACTGCTATTTGATAAGATAAAATCATAGGATTCATGTGGAAACCAGACCTCAAAAAGGGCTCTTAGCCCAAACTCCTGCACAACACAGGTGTCTGCAATGACACCAGTGGACAAGGTTACTCAAGGTTTCATCCAGTTGTGCAGTCTTCATACTCTAACATTTCCCAACCTCTCTAGGTTCCTCTCCAGAGAGAGACCCAACCTCTCTGGACAACCTGTTCCAATGCTTGACTGTTCTCCTGAAAAATATTTCGTTTTTTCCTTCTCCAATTTATCTTTGCCGCTTCTTGTTTGCTGAACTTGTTCCTGTTTCAAAATATCTTTCTTGAGTTATGGAGCCCCAAACCATACACAAGGGACTACATAAGGTCTAGTAAGTGCTAAGAGGGAAATAATTGCTTCCCTCAGTCTGTTGGCTATTTTTCCTGTTCAGACAGCCTAGATTGCTGCTATTTTTTTTTTCCTTGCTAAAGACTTACTGTTTACAAGAGCTGCTCCCCAACCAGTCAGACCCTCAAGTCTGTGCCCTACCTGCCTCCAGGCACAGCACAACCCATTAACCACTACCCTGAGCCTCACACGCAACCCCTGAACACAGAAGCAGCCCTAATGCAAACTCCTTGTAGATGTCTAAAGGAATCCACGTCTCAAGTAATAATAATAATGTTTTAGTATTTTTTTAAATAAAAATTATAACAAGGGAGAAAAAGGATAAAACTACATGTTCCCTTTTAGCAATATACTGGGAAGTTGCATCGTAAGGTGCTATCACACGCACCTTTATGAAGTTTCATTCTAGTACCTTGCTTTTACTTTGTCACTTGTTTAATTACAATACCATGCATAACTGGTAGCACAAGTACAGCAGCACTAACACTTACTTGAGTTGTCCTTCTGCTGTGTCTGGATTATGCCTGTAGTGAAAATCTGTGTAAGGAGCTAAAATTCGCTAAACAAAAGAAAGACATACATTACTTTCACATGATAATACAGTTAATGGGTCTTGCCCTTTCCTCAGTCCCACTCCAATCTGTCATTTATTTCTGCTTTATAAATGATTACGCTCTTAGCCTAACTCTTATATTTTAAACACTTCGTATTAAGACAGAGGGTGAAATACAAAGTGAAAATTAAACACTTTAATTAGTAACATAACTTGCTAATTTCTGTCACTAAACAAATAAAAGGGAACCCACCTCTAATTCTACATCTGCTCGCACATACTGTCGGGTCTTTGGATGATTAATGAGGTGCAAAACTGTAGTTATCAGAGCCTCATTTATTCGGCTTAGCTGACAATCAATCACATTTTTCAAGATGGTGCTTAAACCTCCTCGGAGAGCTACCACCTCGGGATTTTGAAGTGCTAAAAAAGATGAAAAATATAGACACATCACTTCACTGAATGATAGACAAGAAGACATTTCAAGGTGCCCGCTATTACAAATACAAAATGAGTAAAACTCATAGTCCATACAGTACAGATATCTTTCTTCTTTTCCTGAACACTGCCAAGGTGCATGTTTTACTGGCACTGACTGACATTAATGATAAATCAAGATTTTGGATTACATTTGCTAACAACAGAAGTATTATCAGTCAGTCACCAGTACGAACATTTCTTAGCTAATTTCTCACCAAGCGTCTATAAAGTAGTCTGCATTTCACCACAAAAAGGTTTTTTACTTCACTGGACTGACATGATCAAAATATTTATAATAGAAAGTTTTTTAAAAAAGAAATACATTTCTTTAAAACTGTTCATATCTCTGAACTTTTGTTGGTAATTTCTCGCTAATACAAAAATGAAAGAACCTTAAAAATTTGTAACCATATAGAAGCATATGCATTAAGTATAAACTACTGTCCACATCTTTACACACATGCAGACACTGACTTCTATAAGCTAAATAGAGTACCATACATTTTAAAAATTTTAAAGAAACGTGTTTAGTAGTTCTCTGTACATTTAACAGCACTTCAGGTATGGTATTCTCACTATTCTCAGTTCATTAGTATTTATAAGCTGAAACAACTGGAAACATCAACTGCTCTGGGAAAACATACAGGGAAGATAAAATACCCCAATACCTCTCCTGTATGATCAAATTAGTAATTACATTTAGGAAATGCACATTAAAAAACATTTAACAACTACCTCATCAGTTATTGACCACATGTCCTTTATTATTTGTATAAAGCTGTTTAATAGGAACATGCAGAAGAGAAACTCTTAGAAAACTGACAACAATCCTGTCAAAATTCTTAATTAGCTTCCAGACATCTTACCTAGTTCGCAGATAATGGCTATACAAGCTCGCACCATGCGATCTCTTTCTTGAAGACCATCATTTCCAACTGCTATCAAAGAATTAGTTATAGAACTGGGAAACAGTGAAGCATTCACAGTAATCATCTGCCAAAAAATGTAAAAAATAAATAAATAAAATTGTCATAATACTTCTCTACATACATAACTGAGACCAGACACTGTTTCCTCAACAAAACAAGTTAATATGTAGAAGTCTATTGCGTATCACACAAATCCTCAAAAGTATTCCTTCTGTTCTTGGAAGTCCTGAATTTACCATTCTCCTCCTGATTTAGCTTTTATTTTTGTATTATTTTACCATAATGAGAAAGCTTAAAAAGGATACATATACCAGAAAGAACTATTGCTGCCTTTTTCAGATATATTTCCAAGAATTTACTTATTATCAGAGAACACTACAGAATGACGAACAGTAGATTTATAAACCCGTTTAGAAAGTAAACTCACACTGCATCACTGATTCTTCAAGACCTATTCCTGGATAGTTAATAGTTGAATAAACTCTCTTCTTGGTACTCAGTTCCTTATGCACACAGGAGGGGAGACTGTGCTGCAGGCTACAGAAGCAAGGACAGTCAAAAAAAGAAGCTGCTATGGTATTTGGTAGGTATCAGTAACGCACCCAAAACCAGTTGCATAGCAGCTGATCTTCCTAGAACTGCAGCACAATCCAATTTCACGACAGGTTATAAAGATATGCCACAGAAACCACAGGTCCTGCATGTGTCCGATGAACAGTAAAGATAAAACAAAGTTTGCTTCCACTAATAAATCAATAGCCATTCTTCAACTGAAAAGTAAAAATAATTTGCAATACAGTAGAGGCAGAAAAAAAGAGCAGATATTAATGGCTAATGCTGCTTCACACTAGTGAAGCTCCCCTGGGCAATGGAAATCCTCACCTGCTGGCATAAGAAAAGTGAAATTTAGATAAAGTAGCAAGGCCCTGTGTGCATATTAAAGGGAAGGAGACTGACAGCAAAGGCTGACTAGCTGCCTGTTTACTTTTCTAATATTTCACTTAAATATTCATATTTTGCCTCCTATGTAACAGGGACGATAATAAATATGAACAGATGAAGTTAGTAAGGGGAAATAGACTTGTAGTCTGAGCGCTTAAAAACAAAGTTGTATGATTCGGTAAAGCTCACTAAACCAAGTCACTTTTATTTTTTCCTCCTATTAATGAATTAAATGAAGTTGTGAAACAGTGCTCAATACCTAAAAGAACCTTTTCTTAAAAACAAACAAGCAAACAAAAACCCCAAAATGCCTCCATCAGTAGCCTTAAGATCCCTTTCACTGCTATTACTCACTGCCTTATCCCTATTATTTTTCCGATATTTTGTTCTGCATTCATTTTAGGGATTCCTTATATGTCTTACAGATATCAGCTCAGCCAAGAGGCTTATCTTTTTTCCTTTTCTTTTCAGATAGTGTTAAAATGTGAAGAAATCAGCCATTACTACATAAATACATTGAACGCTTTAACAAGTTATTTTTGTGACATGTTTTTGAGAAACTTCTTGTCATATATAATGTTTCACCCACAAAACAGGAAGCTTGAAGCAACTCTAAAGCAAACCCAAACTCCTCCCCACCTACACAGTCTTTCATTTTTATTACTGCAAAAAATAACAAGAATTAGCAAGAGAATGGCTGTACTTATCTGCTCTACAAAATCGCAACTTTGCTTTCTACTCAAAATGAACGTGCATATGAACTTATAATAGCTTGAGAACACAAGTAGCTTCTAAGTTTGTTTTGCTTTTCTTTGATTTTGAGGAGGAAAGGATTTTTTTTTTCTTTTAAGGTTAAATTCCAAGCATTTTAGTAGAATAAATACCACTTTTGCATTTTCCTTCCTTCCACTTTACATATATAAAGTTCTAAAGGTCAAGGACAGGCAAGACAAGACTACTAATAAGGAGTTAGGATGAAAAATGTAACAGGTTATGAAACCACTACGGCAATTTTTAAAGTTTTCTTTAAAAAGGAAGAAGAAAGAAGGTGGGTTTATTATATCTTATCTTGACTTCTGCTTTGAAAAATAAAACTTTCTGCCACTTTAATTAAAAAATAAGACTTTCATTGGATGAAGAAATGTTTTGTGAATTTAGCCTTCTCGAGGTTACACTTTAACATGTAAACGTGATATTCTATATACTGCCTCAGAGAACATTCACTCACAGGAAAAATGTATACAGAAAGCTTAAAAAAGCCTAATTTAAAAAGTTTGAAAGTAATTTTTCTTTTCTCTTCCTGTACTATCTGTGCTTTTTTCTTTTAATTATTTTATCATTAAATCTCTTCTAGGAATTCATATAGCAGGATGAACATACTATATTTTGGGGGGTTTTTTTTGACTCCATGGAAAGGAAGAAAATAAACCAAGGGAATGTTTTAGAATTTTATATCTATGCTATTCTTATGAATGATTTTTCCCTATGAAAAAACAAAGGTTAAAGAACCACATTCAGACTCTGGAACAGAAAACAACAACAGTTCTGCGACGCAGATGAAACCCAGTTCAGCTCTTCAGTGGCTCCTCAGTACAGTACCTTCTGCATAAGCAAACTAGCTGTGTCCTATGATTGTATTTGGCATTCCCTCCCCACTCCTAGACCTCCCAGTAATCTTTATGGAATCCTGGTCTCAAACCACTGACTCTGTGACCTTGAGGGAGATGAGAAGTGATGGCAGAAGGGCAAGAGAAGGCATAAAAAAGACCAAGTGTGGATACGGAGTGTGCCCGTTGGGAGCTGCACCACAGTGTTCTCTGGGAAACTTTAGTGTTTGGCTGCTCTGGGCCAGTGTGTACTTAACTGATGAAGTCCAGAAAGGATGTGAAAAAGATGTTACCTTTACTGATGGCCAGTAAAAGGTGGGTAGTGGGTGGGAGCTTTTGTTTGGCGCTTTTCTTTAAGAAACAAGTTTCTTAGCAAAAGATGTTGAGAAGCATCATTGATCAATGCAATTCTCAGCATCAAAACAGAGCTGGAGGAACTACAGAAAACTCTCCAACAAGAGCTTTGCAGCTTCAATCAAAGGACACATCAGATGGATCTATAATTCCTTCAAAGTGTTCCTTCTTCACTTGCATAAATTCAGGTTCTCCATGTATTGTTTAATCCTGGATACGCACTGAATTAGTTTCACTGTATGATTTGAAAGAAGGTAGAAATGCCGCTTTTCTGGGGCATTCTTTTAAGGGATACAAGTACATGATTCTTTGGGTACATAATGAAAAGAAATAGAATGAGAATAACATTTAGTATATCTTGTAGAATTATTTTTGGGGGTCAGAAATTTATTTCTCTTGCTTCTTGTTTCAAGAAGCCAGCAAAAGTCTTTGCTCAAAAAAGACAGAAATTTGAGGACAAATGTCTGGCCCCAGTTAAACCAATTCATTATAAGTGTATTTCTTATTACAGTTATCCTAGCCCTACACCGAAGCTCTTCTTAAAAAAGAAGAGTCAGCAATATTTTTAAAGTACAAATTCCTCAAAGACATATGACGCTGATATAGGTGATTCCTCCTTTTTCTTCCTCGCGATATATTTTTTAAACAGTTGTGTCAATCAAGAATATTGTCTCAGTATTGCTGTCAGAAACCAAGTATGCCTTTTTTAAGAAAAAGGATTGCATATTAAACTTCCATATTTTAAACCTACAACACACATGCATATATATGTGCAAATCACTGAGATTAAACACAGTGCTTTTGGGGAAAAACATCCATTCACTTCAAATATCATGTGAGTCTTCGGTAATTTTTCTGAGATGTTCCACAGAAGAGTAAAAGCAAGAAAATGAATAGCAAATTTCAGTACAAAGAGTAAAAAAGCACATTGCCTGAAAGAAGAGGTTTAATATTTGTGCATGCCAAAATCTCCAAGACAGGCTTGAAAATGATGCTATGACACAAACATCCAGTGGCAAATTAAAATACAGAACAATAACTAGCAAAGAGTACCTAGGTATGACTGTGAATCTGAGAAAAGAACTATGGACAGCATCAACACCCATGGATAAAGCAATAAGGCTGAAAGCCTTAAGTTCTTTGAACTATTCCAGCAATGGAATTTTGCCTCATTTCTCAAATCATAGAAAAGCTCCCATCCTTAAGTCACATACGTTTAAACACACTATACAATAAGCTTAATAGATAAACGTAATAGTGTGATTCTTATATCCTAGCACTCATCATTCAATAGTTTCCTCATAAATCTTGCTCAGCTTGATCTTCATCAAAGAAAGGTTAGCACAGTTCTACTAGCCCACTCAAGACTGTCAGTGCTGAGAGACTAAAATCACAACAAGCCTCAGCAGGGCCCTTCCTGCTCTTCTTTGAATTACTAGCTATAATTGCTTCTCATATGATAATTAAGGTAAGGAATTAGAGACTGTGAGAAAGAGAACTGCTGATGGAGAGAGCCTGCATCCAGCATAGCTGCCTGGCATATCTAACAAGAGACACTGAGCACTGGTAAAGCTCACCTTTCTGACTAATCGAAGTGCTTGTGTTCTCTCTACTTCATTACTCTGCTGTATGTCAATGCACCTGTAATGAAATGTAAAGAAAAGGTGTTTTTTAATGACAACAACTTTCACCATAACTGTTAACACTTCACTGTTTATATTTACTCAAACGGGTAAACATTAAAAAATGTATTATGATAAAGAATTTTTAAATTCTGCCATTTAGCAGGCATATTTAGTATTTCAGTCATCACATAACTAAATTATAATGTTCTAAAATACACAATGATGAGGCGAAAATGCTTCAACAGCAAATATGAGCTAGTTGCCTTTGCCATTTCAAATGAGACTCAACTAAATACTAACATTCATTGCATGTCACCTCATAAAAGCCCCATTACCCCAACATAATTACAGTTAATATACATATATTTTAGATATAATACATAAGACACATTTGCATATATATACACTAATGCATGTATGCTCTCACTCAATTTTAGCATCCATTTTTAATCATCTCTACAAGTATATACTATAATATGTATATACTATAAATCGATACTATAGTATATATAGTATATATTTGTATATACAGATACATGCACACATCAGTATATTAAATTCAAAAAGATTTTAACAAAACAAGCACTAGAGATTATAATAGTTAGATGTACTCATCATGCTGATCTTATTATCTCATTGTTAGTTTGCCCTCTGGTATTTTCTGTTGTGTCATAGGATATAGTTAGATGATGAATTCTTGGGCATGAACTGTTTTCTTCCCTTGTCTTTGTACTCCTAAGTGCTACGCTACAGTCATACAAAAAAAAATCAGGACAAATGCCATAGCACAAGCCAAGACAAAAACATTTTAAAGGTTTCAATCTCCTAACACTACCACAGATTAATCTGATTAGTACCATATACAGCTCAAAATTAGCTTAAATTTAACTCCCTCTAATTTTGTTTTAGTTTCCGCATAGCATATTGTACATTCATATAGCATTTTATCTGCATTAGACAGTGTGATGTATTACCCCTCTATTTTTAAAGAAAGAAGCTGAAGAAAACCTTAAGTATTGAATAAAAGTCATTTACAAAGCTACGTATTAAAAATGTAAACAGACATGAAAATATCTTTCCTCACCTCTCAGCCCTGATGAAACAAGAGATTTAGACCAAGGATTGTAATGAAAGAAAAAATACCTGGCTATCAAGTAATCCACTTTCAGCTTTAGCACCTTCTGGAGAATCCCGGAGTCTCGAATGAGATAGCGGAGGGCTCGCAACCCTGCTGCGCGCACCTCCTTCGCTTCGTTCAGGAGAGCCAACCGCAAGCTGCAACGACGGAAACAAAGCAGGAAAATCATTCTACAGCAGCAGGTAGACTTCACAACCTGAGAGGCAGCTAGTACCTACTAATTTAAAATAAAAAGTCTGATGTTTAAAGAGAAGTATTCTGCATTAATTTTGTATCTTTGAGATGTGTACCTGTGCAGCCCACAGGGGAAATCTTCACCTTGCCAGCAGATGTAGACAATATATTAATCTGAAGAAAGCCAAAAACCAATCTTTTAACAATAATTCCTACATCCGTGAAATTTTATATGACCAAGCCCTGTACCTGACTTGTTACTTGACAAAACAGGCACAACATCAACCCCCGAAGAAATTCTGGACTAACTGCATTTTTCAAGAACGTTAACATGGAGAATATTCCTCGTCCACTTGACTGTCAGTCCATAAGCCTGAATCCTAAAAGAAACATCTTGACATCTAGTAGGGACAAATTTATACTTTCAGTAGCTTTATGAAGGATGCTTTAAAGATGGTATGGTGCCAATGTTTCAGTGTTTACATGAAATGTTACAAAAGAGTCAAAGGTAAATTTAGGCAACTCTACACAAAATAAATTGCTACAGATTTCATTTCAACATTTTATTTTAATGTATTTCTCTTTATACGAATTATGAGAGCACTTTGCTTGCATCATGGTAAGCTTTTCTAAACAAAACACTGACCATCATCTAATTGCTTACATTCACTATCTAGGTAAAAAGAAAGGCAGGAGCTTTTGAAGATCTTCAGAGATGGAAACCGCAAGTATAAATGGACAAATTAGGCAAATTGCCCTTCTGAAGGCCCCCATAGGATTCTGCTCCTTTTCTTGGCTAAGCAGGAGAGGAAACAAAACAAAACAAACAAACAAAATCCCCAACAATTAACAATGTATTTAAATAGGATCGTTTCATCACTTTTCTTATTCTGCATTGCTAATGGTAATCAACCGCAATGGCTGCAGGATAATCAAAAACTCCAAGGCTCAAATATTCTGAAACTTTATGGGGACCCAATCACTTCATATAAAAGTTTCTACTTCTACATGACAAGACAAAGCAGAAGAGCTACAATATTATATGCAAACAAAGATGAACTAATTATTACCTTCAGCACCAAGGAGCTCCCTCTTTAGGAAGACCATCATTGCTGTAAAAATGAAATATGATTCTCCACATGAGAAGAGTGCCACTAATTGTCTTTAATACTGCAAGCCGAACCACTAGCAAATGGAAGAGAAGACAAATAACTCTTCAAGTGTGTTAAGTAGATCACAGGCATGCTTTGGATCATGAATGATGTCGTGTTGCAGATCTACACAGAGGCAACTCTGAAGTATGAGTACAAAAGAATTAGGTCTCCTCAACAATACTTATCTTAATTGGACTTCTGCCTTAGAGTTTATGATTTGTTCGGATACTCCAGTTTAAAAGTCTCATTTGAGTTGTGGGGTTTTTTTGTTTGTTTGTTTGCTTTTCTTTTAAAGATGGAAGGCTGCTCACTCTCTAGTGAATTAGTGCCTTTACTAGTGCCATTACAAATTTCCTGTTAGAACAACCAAATTCTGAAATTCTGAATCTGGATTTTTTTTTCTATCATCAAGTAAAGTGTTATTTATTTTTATATTGGAGACAAGAACTCTTCTTGAATGGTACCACAAAATGATCTTTAGACACATAGTTTTTCAAAATTAACCAGTGTTTTGAAAACTTATTCTACAACTTGCTGGAGAAACAGACTCGTAACTTGTGGTCAAGAACTAAAGAATCAACAATACTGAAACCACAAGAAATGGCAACATTATCACAAGATCTAAAATCCAGAAGAAACAGATATCAAAAAAGAATGTGTCACTATCTTCAAAAAAGTGATGATACAATGAAAATAAGGTAAGTACTAACTAGTAAGACTTAGCTCTAACAAAGATCATAAAATTCATACAGGCATAAATGAAGTAATGATATATAGAAACATACAAGGCTGAACAAAACCTTCACATTAAACAAAACATCTTTAAAACCTCAGAGAACATAGTATAAGCAAAAAGAGTAATCTGACCTTATGAAAATTCAATTACTATATATTACTGCAGGCCAAAAGGGGAAAAAAAAAGTAGAAAAATATGAGGAGTATCCAGATGTGTATGTTTCCTTTTTTTCAAGTGTATCACAGGCAGGAAACTTGAAAGATGAAGCAGATGCACCGAATCAGCAGAAAGAAAGGAGGGAAGGAATGCGGCATATAAAATGGACTGAAGTATGACAGGAAAAATGAAAACTTTCTTTGTGCTAAGTCTTTGCTTTGAAGATCTACATGAAAACTCCCGTCCTAAAATCTTTTTTAATGATATTAAAGACAAGCTAGTTGCAGAAGAGGAAGTGATTAATCAACTAGAGAAAACTCATCAGCATGTATTAGCCATAACCCACCAAGTTACACATCTAAGTATCCAGAAAGAACACAAGCATGAACTGTTTGTGCGCAGCAAGCACCTCATTATAAATAGCCATGCCAAAAGGTGATAAAGGCCTATGAAAAAAAAAGACTTTGAAGCTCATACTTAAAATAAATCTAGTGAACCACGTGAAGAAACCAGAATAGTTTATGCAAACTGTATTACACTAGTTACTGAAAGACTTCTTTAAAGGAGTTATCATGGTGTACATAGAGGAACCACTTTCATAACTCAGCAACCAAAACCTTCAAGCAAGTGTTACTTAAGACTGTACTAAGGCATAAGGATGTTATAAGGCAATAAAAAGTAGTTTCACAAATCAAAACCTGAAAGACGAATAGCAAAGAGTAGAGATGAATGGCAGATTTTTACCCTAACAACAGTTTAGTATGAGCAAACCACAATCTCCTTTGGTAGACAGCAGTTAATACACGATTCCTATTTGGGAGAAGAAATAGGGAGGGGAGAAATATTAAAGAAGATGATGTTATTTATGTTAATTAGATTAGGATGGGATTAAGAGAAACTTCAAGGGAACTTAAAAATAATATGTATGAATAGTAAGCAAGATGGTAAAGAAAATTCAAGATGGTTAAATGTGACTAAGTACACAAGACAAAAATGTTTTATTTACCCATACTACAGGATTCTAAAATAGCCATCCAATCAAGGAAATGATTTTGATATCAACTGTAGATCACTTATTGTGCATCTGTGGCTGCAAGAGCCAAAGAAACATTGTGACTGTGAGAGTGAGCTTTACCAAGAATATGACATGTTTATACATAAATGCATAGTATATTCTTAACCAAGTATAATACCCCTTGCCCCAGTATTTTAAGTTGCTGTAGAAATAAAAAGAATTTCATAAGATATCATTAAGACTGATTAAAAGTCTGGAAGAACTAACAAAGGATGGAATAGAATATTAACTACCTATTGTAAATTCATGCTTGCACCTTTTTCCTGAAGCATCTTGTCCACTCACAACAGAGTGGTTTGACAGATCTTTCTTTCAGTCAGGTAATTAAGAATATACTGAACTTTGCTTTTATGGCCAAGGCTTCTTGGCACATTACTAAAAGACCTCAGGAGTTTGAGGCCTACCAACACTCCAACTCTTCATGGCTCAAGGCTTCCTCTCAGGTGTCATTGGTATGATGCTCTGGGAACCGGCAAGACCCATCTATACTGGGAATGACAACAAAACGTGTCACTATTATCTCCATCTGCTGGCAGGAAGAAACTATCATCAGGCACCTGGCCTAAAAACTTTTTTTTTTTTTTTTTTTTTTTAAAAAAAAAGGGCTCTAAAAAACAGATTCTTAACTGAAGACCAATTGCAATTTTTGGTTTGGTTAAGTATTCTGTCAAGGTAACTGACCATCAAAACTTCAAAAACTTCATAGGAAAATAGCATTTTTTCTTGAAATCATTAATTTATTATAATTCAGTGTTTTAAAATTAGTCAAAGAATGTTTTACTTGCAAGAAATAATGCTGCAAACCCAGTCGTATAGATCAAACTTATATGAAAAGTTTATCTTTAAATCCTGATTCTCCCTAAAGAGCTTGCTTCACATTCTATGAGATTACATTTTTAGGAAAAGTGTTTTCTGCAATTAGTGAGATCCTTAGAAGTATTTTTAAATTTATGAGGAATATAATACAGAACTAAAAACTTCACCTTGACTCTTTTTCGTCCTCTAACAGTGTAGTATATATTCTCATTTTACCCTTTAAAATATTTGTACTTTATAGGTTTAATTTATATGTATAATGAAATATTCAAATACATTAGAACTACAAAAAGGTAGCTTGAGAGTATAAATAAAATTAGTTTTACTTCACTTAGAACAAGACCTTGAAAAATATCTGGTAACGCTTTCAAAGAAACCTGAGGAATTAAATTCATCTCTCTCATTCACTGCCACGGCAAGTGTGCTAGGCTCGCACTGCCTTGAAAGCCTTTGCTGCTGGTATTCCACTCATCTGCATACCAGACACATGGAGTCCTTGGGCCTCTCTTTTTAGATGAAAGATTGCACAATTATTTAAGCTGCCTGCTGGTCCATTTTTAATCCCCACCTATTTGAGGTTACTCGCCTTGCTGCCTTCGAGCTCTATTCAGAAGACGGGAAAGTGGTAAACAGCCTGAACACAGGCAGAGGACTGAAGTCCAAGTACACATGACATTTGCATTCAAAAAGAGGCAGGACTGCAGGGAGAGTCTTGAAGCGAAGAAAGAAACCCATGAACCATGCTTGTGTTTTGCAACAGCAAAGGCATGTGAAAAAATTCAGGAGGAGCCACCAACGGTAAGTGCTCCATAACTGACCTCGATTTTCAGTGGTACAAAACATCCATGAGTCCTGCAGAATCAAATACAAGCCAGGCTCACAGTGCAGAAAGTTGATTCACACAGACACACAACACACACACACACACACGAGACACCCATAACCTGTAGCAACCTGAGAACAAGTCAACCTTCTCTGTCAGTTCTGAGCACAAGACTGGAGACTTACAAGTACAACATTTATGTC